GAATCCCATCGGATTCCTTGGGATTCCCTAGGAATCCCTTAGGGATCCCATAGGACTCCTTGGGAATCCCATAGGATTCCCCAGGAGTTCTATAGGCTTCCTTAGGGATTCTATAGGATGCCACAGGGAGTCTGTGTCCCGGTGGTCGGCTCGGCGGCGTGCACATGGTTTCAGGTCGTGGGAGTGCATGGGCTGCCTTAAGGAGCCCAGAGGATTTAAAATGCGAAGCTTGAGGTCCGCTTGCTGGTTGCTGGTTGCTGGTTGCTGGTTGCTGGGGGGGGGGTGCTGACCACGGGGGGTTAGGTCAAGGGTTGTCCTTAAGGACAAACCTTGACCTAGCTGCCCGGTGAACGGGTGGTTAGGTGCAGTGTTGACCTTGTTGTTGTTGTTGTTGTTGTCGTCGTCGTCGTCGTCGTCGTCGTCGTTGTTGTTGTTGTTGTTGTTGTTGTTGTTGTTGTTGTTGCTGCTGTTTTTGTTGTTGTTGTTGTTGTTGTTGTTGTTGTTGTTGTTGTAGTTGTTGTAGTTGTTGTTGTTGTTGTTGTTGTTGTTGTTGTTGTTGTTGTTGTTGTTGTTGTTGTTGTTGTTGTTGTTGAGTGTTAACTACCCAAAATAGTTATTGTTTGGGCCCTTTACATGCGCCCCTGCGCTCTCGCCGAGGCGCCGGCTACAGTTTCATTGAAAACGAGGCTCACGCTCGAGCGGCTTGGGGGGCCGCCAAAACCGGCCCCCGTATCAACAACAAGGCTCCCGCTCGAAACTTCCTCACTTTTTACTCAGTGCTGGTCCATTTGCTCGCCGCCGAAAGCTGCCGTCCTAACAAAACCAGCGCTCCCGCTCGAGACCTCCTCCCGTTTTACCTTGGGCTGGCGCGCTCGTCTTTCTCTCATCGGCGCCGCCCCCAGCAAAAACAACGCTCCCGCTCGAGGCTTCCCTTTTTTAAAACTCAAGGCGGTGCCCTCGTCACCGCCGAAAACCGCCGCCCCCACAATTCAGCGCTCCCGCCCGAGACTTCCTTCCGTTTTACGCTGGACTGGCGCCCTGCTCTCTTTTGAATTGGCGCCGCTCCCAGCAAGAACAACGCTCCCGCTCGAGATGTCCTTTTTTTTCCTCGGGACGGTGCTGTTCCTCGCCGCCAACAGCCCCCGTCCCGACAAAACCGCGGCTCCCGCTCGATGCTTCCTCATTTCTTACTCAAGGCGGTATTCCTCCTCGCCGCCGAAAGCCGCCGTCCCAACAAGACCAGCGTTCCCGCTCGAGACTTCGTTCTGTTTTACGCTGGACTATCGCCCTACTCTCTTCAGCATTGGCGCCGCTCCTAGCAACAACAGCAGCCCTGCTCGAGACTTCCTCCCTTTCTATTCAGGGCCAGGTCCTTGCCTCACCGCCGACAGCCCCCATCCCCAGCAAGGCAATCCTGTCGTTCGATACTTCCTTGTGCTTTACCTTTCGCTGGGGTTCCACTGGCGGTCTCGCATCGGCGCAGCAAGGCTCGGGCATGTGTTTTCGAGGAGGGATTTGTCGAAATTCCTCGGAAGGGTGTTTGCAAGACCTCATTGGGCGGGAGATGCGGGAATGGAATAACGGACCCCGCTATAGAACAAGCGTCCCTCATGATGTAAATGGTTATCATGATGGTCGCATGCTTCGTGTGGAAACATCGCGCATGAGGGTAACATGATTGTTGTTGTTGTGTTGTTGTTGCTGTTGCTGTTGCTGTTGCTGTTGCTGTTGCTGTTGCTGTTGCTGTTGTTGTTGTTGTTGTTGTTGTTGTTGTTGTTGTTGTTGTTGTTGTTGTTGTTGATGAGCTCTCTTTCTTGAAACATGTGTCATGTTGATCCCCGGTATGTTTTCGATTGAAGTGCCCCTCCCGGGGCTCGCACTTTGATTTTTACCAGGGAAGGTCTTGAGGCTCAAACTGTGTCGTTGGCCCCCGGTTAACAACAACGGCTCCCGCCTGATATTGTTTCAATGTATTGCAGAATCGCGCTCTCGCTTTGGATTTCCTTGTAATTTTCCACTGAATCGCGGATCCCGCTTGATTTCTTGACAATATATTGCAGAATCGCGCTCTCGCGTGGGATTTCTTCGCAGTTTTCCACCGAACCGTTGTTGTTGATATTTCCGCACAATTTATCCCCAGATGCCGGTCCTCGACACTCAGGAATCGCGCTCCCGCTACATATTGCCTGGCGGTTCAAGCAGGACCCAACCTTCAACGACCCGCCCGCTCGACCCGCCCGTCGGGGCCTGCCCGCCCGACCAGCCCGTTAATGACAGCAGTCGCCGGTCGCTGCCTTTCGCCTGCCTTCGATGCCCCTCGCTGCCCGTACTGGTTCCGCGGTCGCCTTCGCTCGCTGCCCTTCGTGGCCCCGTTGCTGCCCTCAGTGGCTCTGTCGCTGCCCTTTGTGGTCCCGAATTATATGCCCTTCGTGGCCCCCGCTCGCACGCACCCGTCGTGGCCCCATATGTATGCCCTTTGTAGCCCCGTTGTCGCCCTTCGTGGCCCCCTCGCTGCCCTTCGTGGCCCCGTTGCTGCCCTCAGTGGCCCCGCTGTCGCCCTTTGTGGCCCCGTATACGAATGCCCTTCGTGGCCCCCGCTCTCTCGCGCCCGTCGTGACCCCATATGCATGCCCTTCGTGGCAACGCTGTCGCCATTTGTGGCCCCCTCGCTGCCCTCCGTGGCCCCGGTGCTGCCCTCAGCGGCCGCGTCGCTGCCCTCTGCGGCCTCGGATTTTATGCCCTTCGTGGCCCACGCTGGCTTTTCTCACGATTCACTTAGAAATCGCGCTATCGCTCGAAACTTCCTCGCGATTCATGCAGGACCCACGCTTCAGCAACCCGCCTGCTCGACCTCGTCGCCTGGGCCCGCCTTCCCGACCTGCCCGCTATGGGTTTGCCCACCCGATCTGTCCGTCTGGTTATACCACTTGTTTTCTGCTCCTTGCCACCCTCCTGCTAATTTCTCTCATGCTCCATTATTCTCCCTCCCCGTTCCACCCGTCCTCTCTTCCCTTGTTTTAGGGGCTGCACTAAATACACGTGGCAGGTAAGGAAGATTCTCCCCCAAGGGGGTCCGATCGAAGACGACGAGGGCGGGTACTGAGGGTTTGGGATATACGTAATGATTAGCACGTGAGCAGATGGAGCGAGAAGTCTTAAACTTCTTGTTGTTGTTGTTGTTGCTGTGGTTGTGGTTGTGGTTGTGGTTGTTGTTGTTGTTGTAGTTGTAGTTGTAGTTGTTGTTGTTGTTGTTGTTGTTGTTGTTGTTGTTGTTGTTGTTGCTGTTGCTGTTGTTGTAAACCGGGGGCCAGGGGCACAGTTTGACCCCAGGGCTTTTCCCTGATAGGAAAAAAACGAGGTGCGAGCCCTGGAGGGAGCACTTCAATGGACAAATACAATGGTCACCCGAAGGAGGGGTCAACAATAATTATTGAATCGCTTCGCTTATTCCGCCGGCCCGTGATATGGCATCGCTGGTTTTTGTCTGTGTGTTCGTTGCCCATGTTGCGCTCTTGGGGGCGGGTGTCGTTCGGACGCGTTGCGTGGGGAGTTTTGATGGTGAAGCAGTTCCCTGGGGGTCGTCTCTCGATGGGGCGAAATAGAGTCGTCGTCAAGATGCTTCTTTGGGGGGCCTCTTGGGGTCTGTTGAGAGGCCGTTCGGGGGCGCCTGGGAGACATGTTTGAAGCCTTCTGGGGCTTCTTTTGGGCCTCCTGGGAGTCTCCTGGGGCCTCTTGGCGACATCTTGGGGCCTCTTGGAGGCCTCTTGGGGCCTCTTTGGGACCTCCTGGGCGCCTTCTGGGACGGAGGGCTCCATTTTTGAGTTCTCGGTATCCCTCCTGAGTCCCTCTTGGGCCCGTCTTGGGGCCTCTTGGTCCGTCTTGGGCGGCACTTGGGCCGTCTTGAGGGCTCTCTTGGGTCGTTTCGGCGCCGTCTTGGGAGCTTCGTGGGCCGTCTTGGAGCGGTCTTGGGGGCCTCTTGGGCCGTCTTGGAGCGTCCGGAAGCCGAAAAAGCCAGAACACAAAAAACATCGAAAAAACCAATGAAAATCAACGATTTTGGCCTCTTGGGGCTCTCTTCGGAGGCCTCTTGGAAGGCTCTTGGGGCGTCTTGGAGGCCTCTTGGGCTGTCTTGGGGGCCTTTTGGGCCGTCTTGGGGTCATCTTCGGCGTCTTCGAGCGCTCTTTGGGCGTCTCGGGGGCCTCTTGGGCAGTCTTGGGGGCCTCTTGGGGCACTCTGAGCGCGCTCTGGGGAGCCTGAGAGGCCGCACCCAGAAGGAAAACCATCTCTGAGTAGACTTGGTCGGGCGGCGGTCGGGCGGCGGTCGGGCGGCGACCGGGCGTTGGTCGGGGTACTTTTCGCCGGGGGACCCCCAGGGGCCGCCCCGCGCGCGCGAACTAGAAATACTGTTAATACTGTTAACCAGTTACCGGAGATCTTAGCACGCCCTGGCCCGTTGGGCCGGCGAATTCTTCAGTAGTGGGAGTTCGACAACAACGGCTCCCGCCTGATACGCCCTCACAATTTATGCCCAAACCGCGCTCTCGTGTGGGACGTCCTCACACTTTATACCAGAATCGCGCTCTTGGGTGGGACTCCCTCGCAATTGATTCGGTCCGCGCCCTCGACATTCGCCGCTATCGCCGACCACTTTTTGCTCAAAGGGCTTCAGCGTGGGCGTCCAAGGTCCTCGCATCGCCATTGCGTGCTCTTACGATCCTGTCGCGCTCCACCCGGCCGTTCTCAACGCCAGGAGGCGCCAGGAGAACCAGATGCATGCAGCTGATCTCCCCCCCCCCCCCCTTGACCCCCTCCTTTCCGTGCGACCCGCATCCGAGGCGGGGATTTACCGCCTGGGCGATCGACCTTGGAGCATCTCGCCCGCTGGGGTCCCAAGGCGTCTGTTCCCCAGTCCCCGCCCTGCACGCCAGGAGCCTTGAAGACGGCGGCGCCGGAGGCAGGCGGGGCTCAGGTCGAGAGGGTCAGCTGGCCCGCGCCGCCAGGCCGCGATCTCGCGCGTCCACACGAGGAGCCGCGTGCAGGAGGACCTGGACCACCAGGCCTGCCAGCACCTCGTCCGGCTTTCTCCCGATCGCTCCGAAGCTGAACGCTTTTTCTGCACTTTGGTTGCGCCGTCTTTGTCTCGCAGGGGCAGCGCTCGTGGTGCCTCTGGGGCCCGATGAGCCTTCGCTCCGGATCCAGCTCCAGATCCCCTCTCCCCCTTGCGCACGACGGGCAATTTTTTCTCCGAGTGTCAAGCCCCCACACGCACAGGCCTGGCCTGCTTGAGGGCCTTCGAGGACGGCAGAGCCCCAGGCCACACGAGCCTGGCCACAGAGGTCAACGTGCTCAGATGATGTGGAGACCCATGAGGCCCCCGAGGAAGCCATTGATTGCCCAATTGGTTTCCACGAGTGCTCGCCCGCTCGGGTTTCCGACCGCCCAAGACGGCCAGAGAGGCCTCCGCGATAGCCATAAGACAGTCCATGAGGCCCCCAAAGAGGGCCGCGTGCAGCGCATGGTCTGGTCTTCACCTCCTCGCCCTCCGCCCCCGTCATCCTCCTGCAGCGGCGGCGGCGGCGGCAACGACGACGATGGCGGCGGCGGCGGCGGCCCTGGTCGACCCCCGTCCGACCATCGCCCCCCCCCCTTGGGCTCAGAAGGAGCCCAGGAACCTGCAGGATCTCCCACCGTCGATGCGACGAGGCTTCAGCCAGCTCGCCAGGAGCTCACTGCGGGCTATCATCGGGGTCGGAGTTCTAAAAGAAGTCCTGCCTGAGCCCCCTGCCGGCCTGCGGGCCGCAGCCCCTGACCCAGACCGCAAGGGGAAGAAGCCTCTGATGGCCGCTCCTGGTCGCCTTCGCGGACCCCGATCCTCGATCATCGATCTCCGATCCTCCATCCTCGATCCCCGATCCTTCGGGCCCCCCCCCAAGAAAGCCTCGATCCTCGATCCTCGATCCTCGATCCTCGGGGCAGCGGCGGTGGCGACGACGGCCGACGTCTGTCCAGAGGTCTCTCCAAGAGGAGGTCTCGTGCCAGGGGCGGCCAGAGGGAGGAGGGAGGAGGGAGGAGGGAGGAGGGAGGAGGGAGGAGGGAGGGGCCAGAAGGGCGCTCCGAAGGGCACCGATTTCGTCGACCCTCGACCGCCGCCCGCGAGCTCGGCGGCGAGAGCCGGGCCCAGGCCTCGCCGACCACCGACTCGGGCCGCTCGGTGGGCCGCGGGGAGGGGGCCGCGGAGTGCGTCGGGCACGCGGTGAGGTCGGGCCCCTGCTCCTCCTCCTCCTCCTCCTCCTCCTCCTCCTCCTCCTCCTCCTCCTCCTCCTCCTCCTCCTCCTCCTCCTCCTCCTCCCTCCTCCCTCCCTCTCCTCCCTCCCTCCCTCCCTCCTCCTCCTCCTCCTCCTCCTCCCTCCTCCTCCTCCTCCTCCTCCTCCTCCTCCTCCTCCTCCTCCTCCTCCTTCGGGGGGGTCGACGGCTGGCGGGGCTCAGGGCTCGGACGTCGCCAGCCATCGATCTCCCAGGGCCCCTCGGGGGCGGCCGCCGCCCGCGCGCGCGCGAGGGCAACGAGCGGCGCTTCGCTGCCGAGCGCGCCAGGCCGGCGGGGCCCCTTCCGGGGGAGCGGCGGGGCGGCGGGTGCCACGGATCATCGGGTGCCTCACCGAGCGCGCTCCGCTGCTCGCAGGGTGCCTGCTCGCAAACGTCCGATTGCAAAAAAAACGAAGGATAGCAAAAAAAAAACGAAGGATTGCAAAACAAACGAAGGATTGCAAAACAAAGAACGAAGGATTGCAAACAAAAAACGAAGGATTGCAAAAAAACGAAGGATTGCAAAAAAACGAATCCTGAGCACCTGTTCGCCTCCATGTACGCAGAGGATCGTGCAGCCCCCGCCGCGGCTCACGGGGCCACTTGCGGGCAGTTTTTTACGTTTGCGAGGAGTGGGGCGCGCTTGTCTGGTACCGGAGCTTCCAGGTCGCGATCGGCAAGCGACCGATCGGCGCTCCGAATCGGCCGCGGCCGAGTCTTTGGAGCAGTGCGGTCGGGACCGATCCGAGATTGGAGGCGCAATCGGTGGTGACCGATCTCTCGTTGGTCAGGAGGCAGAAACAATTCATCGTCGATCCCCAGGAAAATATGGGAACATGTGGGAAGTGGGGGGGGAGACAAAAACCCAGAAAATATGCACAAGTATAGGGGAATCCTTTGATTTGTGTCCGTTTATTTGCGTGTCCCCGGGGCCCCTTCAGTGGGTCGCGACCTTGGACAGCCCAAGGATCCAACGATCGGGGTGGGCCGCGGGCCCGGGTCGCCGACGACACGATCTTTTTCAGTCCGGGGGGTGTTTTGCTCCCCGCCCAGAGCTTCTCGACGGCTCGGGCCTCCTCCTCCCGCCTCCGCGGCCGCCCCTCTGCCTGGGCAGCTTCGTCCCCGCGTGCCAGGCGCCCCTGCGCGGCCCTCCGGAGCGACAGGCGCGCCTGCGATCGCCAGCGCCGCCCAGGAAGCAGCTTCTCTCCCAACCCTCCCGTGGTGTTGGGTCCTCGTTTGGAAGAGACGGCGCCCCGCGTCCTATCTTCCTCCCTTCCTTGCTCCTCCCCCTCCTTCTCCTCCTCCTCCCTCCTCCCATCCCGGCCTCTGCTCTCCGCATCACTCTACCGTTTGGGCACACCCGCTCTGCCGATGGAGCAGTTTTTTCCAGATTCCGGCCTGCAGGGCCCGTGATCGGGCCTTGGGGCCATCGGAAACGGATCCGTGACGCAGAACTATCCCAAGGGAAGGGGTTCGGGAGTTCCGGGGCCGCGGGCTGGAGAGGTGAGATCGGAGGATTCGGGGGCGGAAAAGAGGGGGGTGATGACTAGGGGGGGTGGATGTCATGGCGGGGGCGATGATATTTCACCAGGTTTCATGGCGCCTCTTCTTGTTTCATTACGTCCCTGGCCCCCCCGCTGGACCGCGCACATGCCGCCGGTCATGATTTGCACCCCCCCCCTCTTGGACACCCCCCTCTTGGCCGCTCCCGAAGGATATGTGGAGGCTCCGGGGGGCCGGGTTTTCGATATTTCGGCGATCCGATGGAGCCCGATGCGTGCACGGCGCTGTTGTGCATCATGGTGCAGCCGATCGGCTTCTATATTTCGACTCCGTGCCGATGCGGACCGTCCCGACCCGAGTTTCTGCTTCGATCCGAGTTCCTGATTCGATGCTGATTGAGTTTGCTTCCCCCCCAAAGCCGCGTGGCCAGGCGTCTCAGCAGCGAGGGCAGGTTTGCGGAGCTGTGCCGGCACACCAGCGAGACGCGGCTCGGGCAGTCCCAGGCCGCGGGCGGCGGTGGCTGTCGTGGTCGTGATGATGATGGTGGTGACGGCGATGATGCTGGCGGTGGTGATGGTGACGATGGTGATGTTGCCGATGGTGGCACTTACAGTGTAGTCGGTGATGACGATAGTGATGATGACGCTGGGATGATGCTGCTGCAACTGCTGCTGCTGCTGCTGATGATGCTGATGATGATGCTGATGATGATGCTGATGATGATGCTGATGATGATGATGATGATGATGATGATGATGATGATGATGATGACGATCGGAAGAATGATGATCGTGATGATGAAGTTGTTTATCATGATGATAGCCATCATGATGACACTGGTACTCATGCTGGTGTTGATGCTGCTGCTGCTGATTATTTAATCGCTTCGCTCATTCCGCCAGCCCTCGAGCGCTCTACGGGGCCTCTTTGAAGCCTCTTGGGGGCCTCTTTGGGGCCTCCTAGGGGGGCCTCTTGGGGGTCTCTTGGGGCTCCTTGGCGGCGTCTTGGGGCCCCCTTGGGCCTCTTGGGGGGCTCTTGGGGGCCTCTTGGGGCGGGGTAGTCGAGTGCACCCCCCTCGGAGGCCGCGATCCTAATGAGGGGTGTCGAAGGAAGGCCCTCAAAACAATCTCTGGGTAGACTTGGTCGGGCTGCGGTCGGGATACTTTTCGACGGGGGACCCCCAGGGGCCGCCCCGCGCGCGCGAACTAGAAATATTGTTAACCAGTTACTGGAGATCTTAGCACGCCTTTGGCCCGTTGGGCCAGCGAATTCTGATGCTGGTGTTGTTGTTGATGATGATGATGATGATGATGATGATGATGATGATGATGATTATGATGATGATGATGCTGGTGGTGGTGGTGATCATGATGATGGTGGTGGTGATGGCGATGCTGGTGATCGTAATGATGATGATGATGATGATGATGATGATGATGATGATGATGATGATGATGATGATGATGATAATAATGATGATGATGATGATGATGGTGATGGTGATGCTGATTATGATGATGATGCTGATGATGCTAGTGATGGTGACGGTGATGACAATGATGATGAGGATGCTGCTGCTGATGATGACAGTGATGATCAAACTTCTGCTGATGATGATGGTTGTTGATGATGATGACGGTGATAATGATAATGGTGTTTATGATGCTGATGATGCTGACGAGTATATGATGGTGTTGGCGGTAGTGATGATGCTGATGGTGGTGGAGCTGATGGTGTGATGATGCTGATGATGATGATGATGTTGATGCTGATGGTGATGATGCTGCTGATGATGATGATGGTGATGACAACGACGATGATGATGCTGATTAGGATGCTGATGATGATGATGCTGGTGCTGATGATGATTATGCTGCTGATGATGCTGCTGATGATGATTATGATGTCGGTGGCAGTGGTGCTGATGATGATGGTGGTGGTGATGATGAATCTGAGTATGATGATGATGCTGATGGTGATGCTGATGATGATGTTGATGCTGCTGATGATCATGGTCATTCTCGTGATGCTGATGATTATGATCCTTATGCTGATGATAATGCTGCTGATGATGATGCTTACGATCATGCTAATAATATTGATGATGATGTTGATGCTGCTGCTGCTACTGATGATGATGCTGATGATGATTCTGACGCTGATACTGATGCTGATGATGATGCTGATGATGATGATGATGCTGCTGCTGATCATGATGATGATGCTGCTGCTGATGATGATGATGATGCTAATGATGCTGATGATGATGCTGATGATGCTGATGATGATGATGTTGGTGCTGATGATGCCGCTGACGCTGATGCTGATGGTGGTGGTGGTGATGCTGCTGATGATGATGATGATGATGCTGATGATGACGACGATGATGATGTTGATGATGATGAAGATGAAGATGAAGATGAGATGATGATGATGATGATGATGATGATGATGATGATGATGATGATGATGATGATGATGATGATGATGATGATGATGATGATGATGATGATGATGATGATGATGATGATGATGATGATGATGATGATGATGATGATGATGATGATGACGATCAAGCGCTTCGCTCTTTCAGCCGGAGTTGCTTTGTTGGCGTGCCCTTTGCGAGCGAGGAGGAGGAGGAGGCCTCTCGATGGCTTCTTGGGGCACCCTGAAGGCCAAAGTGGGTCGTGGACAAGACGCCTCTTTGGGAGGCGTCTTGGGGTCTCTTGGGAGGCCTTCCGGGGGCCTCTTGGCGGCACTTTGAAGGGGGGACCTCCCCCGAGACCCCCGCTTGTGAACCCGCTCCCCTGAACCTGCCGGGACCCCGGGGGGGGGCGGTATTCTGACTCGGGACCCCACCCCCCCCTCCCTCCCTTCTCCCCCCACCCCCCTGGCAGGGAAGGGAAATACGAAAGGGAATCGACTCAATTACAACGTTTCTCTTCCTTGTTCCTCAATTCGTTTGGAACTGACGGCGACGACGACGACGACGACAGCGTCTCTCTCACGACTGCTAAATCCTTCAAACGCCACTGGAGAATCCAGAGTTTCTGGCTCTCTGGGCCTTCTTGGGTGTCCTTTCGAAGCGCCATTAGGGAGTTTTCGAAGCCTCGCGGATTGTGAAGAAATCAAGTTGGGCGTCTTGGAGCGCTCTTGGACTATCTCCAACCTACATTAGCCTTGATCACCAGGAAGAAGTTCGAGCGCCCAGAAAAGTACCGAAACTCAAGGGTTTTCACGTGTCGGGCCCTGGGAGACACTCGCCCGACACTGTTTCGACACTCTTTCGACACTCTTTTGACACTTTTCCGGGTGCTCGAAGTTATTTCTGGGATGTGGTCCTTAAGTAGGATGGGAGCAACATAACTCTCGGGTATAGCCACGACCCCCGGAAAGGGGACCCGTTTAGTAGTAGGGCCCTGGAGCCCCTAAAGTGGCCAGACTCACCAAACCATGTCTGCCGTAGCTGGTGTTTTTCGGGTGACGGCAGTTCCAGTTAGTGGAACGGGGCGGGGGGGGGGCGTCCCCCAGTACACATCACTAAACCAGGTCCCACGAATCCCAGTTCTGCCAACGCCGGAGACCCTGCGCTGGCCGCGCAGCGCAGCCGTTCAAGTACCCCGACTGCTGGGACGACATGCTCGTCATCCTGACGCGCCTGGGCTACCACCTCGACGCTGACGACCCCTGGGAGGTGCTGGGGCTTGCCGACCTGGACGGCCCTGACCCCGCTACGATCGGCCTGGCTGCTCGTGAACGGGCGGCCTCGCACGCGGACTGGAGCGGCCCGGATCAGCAGCAGGCGCAAGATGGACTCGGCAAAATCGCCCGCGCAGCCGCGGCATGCGAGAGGGAGCTGGCGGAGGTCATTGCCGAACGCCGCCGCCTCAAGGCCCCGAAACGGCCGAGACGGAAAGAGCTGGGTCATGACGCGCTGGAGCCTCTGAAGCGCACCCGGAAGGGCGGGCTGGGCGTTTCGCTGGGTAGTCCTTGCATTTTTGAGCTTCAAACTTAAACACTGGCAACAGCTTCACAGATGGAGGGCGGGCCGCTTCCAAGATGTGGCTCTCGCCTTAGCGCTGCGAGTATTCGTTTTACTTATTCCGACGGTAGGACCCTGCATGATGATATATGTTGATTGCCGTTGGGTCTTTCCTCTTCGCCCTGGCCGAAGCCCCCCGTATCGTCCTCGGTTGCTCCTCCTCATCCTCCTTGTCTTCCTCGTCTCTGGACCCTCGACTCTCCCCCGCTCCTCAGCACGCTTACATCAGGGGGCCTGGGCCCTGCAGCGGCGTACACGTCCGAGCCTGACCGCGATCTTTCGTTGCGCCAGTCGATTCGCAGGGTTGCGTTCGCTTTTCTCCTGTTCTACAAAATGAAGCAGTTGGCAGCGCCTTCGCCAGCATACATTGCTGTAACGTCGGCCGCAGCCAAAGCACTGTTGTGGCGATGAGTTCGGTGCAGCTGGTCCGCGCGGAGAGACATCATTTGCCCTCTTCTCGCGTCGTGCCCGCTTGCCCTCTTCTCGTCCCTCTCAGGCTACTTTAGCTCCTTGTCTTCCCCGTCCTCCGTCTCCTCCTCCTCCTCCTCCTCCTGCTCGCACTCCTTGTTCAATTTCTCCTCTCCTTCGTCTTTTTCTTCCTCCTCCACCTCCTCCTCCTCCCCCCCTCCTCCACCTCATCTCCATCCCGCCTGTTCTCCTCATGCGCCCCTCCTTCCTCCTTGGCAGAGGGGCTCCTGGCCGCGGGGGGCGCCTGCCGATTTTTCCCCGGGCGCCGTCGCCGCCGGCGCCCGGCAGGGGCGCCTGCTTTCCGATGGCAAGATCGCGAAGCCGTCGGGGCAGCGGTCGTTGGGACAACCCCGCGAGCCGCTGGGGCGCGCGAGCAGGCCTGTGGGACACTCGGGTCGGGCGAAAGGGGGGGATTGGGAAAGGGGGGGTTACGAAATCTGCTGCATGCAGCTGGTCTCGGCCCCACCGAGGGGCCCACTCCTCGATACATGGTCGCCTCCGGCGCCGGGAGGCGCCGGGAAAATCAGCTACGCGAGCTGATTCTCAAACCCCCCCTTTGCTATCCCCCCTTTCGCCCGACCCGAGACACACCCGCAGGCGCCGAGTTAGTCGCGGCCGCGCTCAGGTGGGAGGCAGCGCGAGGTTCAGCCCTGCCGCAAGCTGCTCCCCCTCAGCCCCGGAGTCCACCGCTCTCTGGTCGAACTCCTCGAGCGATTTTGTGACTGGGTTAGGGGCTCCCGCCTGAGACTTCCTTGCGACTCATTCACATACGCGTGTGGAACGCCTCGTGGTTTGTCCCTGTGGGGTGCTCATTTTTTTTGCCTGGTAGAATTTGCCGATGACCCGCTCTTACTGCCAACGTGAAGTGTGGGCCCCATAGGTAGGGGGGCTCCCGTCTGAGACTTCCTCGCTATCCACTCACGAACGAAGCCCTCGCGTCAGACCTCCTCCGTATTCGGTCCCGAGGCGCCGAAAAGTGACGACAGCTATAGGTCTCCGATCGCCGGCTTGGATTACCAACGTGTCGTGCGGGCCCCAGTGGGGGGGGGCCCTCGCTTGAGATTTCTTCGGGATTCAGTCACGGACGAAGCTCCCGCCTGAGACTTCTCGAAGTTCAGGCTTGAAGAGCCGAACAATGACGACAGTTTCAAGGTTCCGGTGACCCGCTCGGATTACGAAAGTGAGCCGCGGACCTCATAAGGTGGAGTCTCTCGCCTGGGAGTTCCTCGCAATTCACTCACAGACGAGGCTCCCCGTCTGAGACTTCCTCAAGGTTCAAGCTTGAAGAGCCCGAAAGTAACGACAGCTACGAATTTCCGATGACCCGCTCGGATTACCAACGTGAGTTGTGGACCCATATGGAGGGGGCTCCCGCCAACGACGTCTTCGCAATGCGCTCACAGACGAGGTTCCCGTCCGAGATGGAACTTCTTTTTGCCAGTCCTGAGGAACCCAGCAGTGACGACAGTTGTAGGATTCCGATGACCCGGTTGGATTGCCAACGTGAGATGCGGACCCAATACGGAGGGGGCTCACGCCTGAGACTTCTTCCGGATTCACTCACAGGCGGGGTTCCCGCCTGAGACATCCTCAATATTCAGGCTGGAAGAGCTCAAGTGTGACAACAGTTACAAGATCCCGATGGCCCGTTCGGATTATCAACATGAAGTGCGGGCCCCATAGGGAGGAGGTTCCCGCTCGAGACTTCCTCGAAATTCATTCGCAAACGAGGATCCCACTTGAGACTTCCCCGATAGTCAGGCTCGAGGAGCCCAAGAGTGACGACATTTACAGGATCCCGATGGCCCGTTGGGATTGCCAACGTGAGTTGCGGACCCCATAGGGAGGAGGTTCACGCCAAAGACTTCCTCGCAATTCATTCGCAGACGAGGTTCCCGCCTGACACTTCTCCAATACCCAGGCCTGAGGAACCCAAAAGTGACGATAGTTACAAGGTCCCGATGGCCCGCTCGGATTACCAACGTGAGGTGCGGATTCATATGGGGGGGGCTCCCGCCAACGCCGTCCTCGCAATACGATCACAGACGAGGTCCCCGCCAGAGATGAAACTTCCTTGCGATTCGGGCTTGGGGAACCCAGAAGTGACGCAATTCATTCACAGACGAGGCTCCCGCCTGACATTTCCCCAATATTCAGGCCTGGGGAACCCGAAAGTGACGACAGTCACAGGATCCCGATGGCCCGCTCGGATTACCAACGTGAGATGCGGACACCATAGGGGGGGGGGCTCCCGCCTGAGACTTCCATTCACTTACAGACGGCGTTCCCGCCTGAGACTTCCTCAGGAGCTTCAAAGTGACGGCGGTTACAAGATCCCGATGGCCCGCTCGGATTATCAACATGAAGTGCAGGCCCCATGGGGAGGAGGCTCCCGCTCGAGACTTCCTCGAAATTCGCTTACACACGAGGTTCCCGCCTGACACTTCCTCAACATTCAGGACTGGGGGTCCAAGAATGACGACGGTTGCAGGATCCCGATGGCCCGCACGGGTTGCCAACGTGAGTTGCGGACCCCATAAAAGGAAGGTTCACGCCAAAGACTTCCTCGCAATTCATCAACAGACGAGGCTCCCGCCTGAGACTTCCCCAATAGTCAGGCCTGAGGAACCCAAAAGTGACGACAGTTACAGGGCCCCGATGACCCGCTCGGATTATCAACGTGACGTGCGGTCCCCACAGGGAAGGGGCTCCCGCTCGAGACGTGTTCGTGCTTCACTCACAGATGAGGCCCCCCGTGGTCGATGCTAGTGATGGAATGGTGATCGTGATGGCGATGGTGGGGCGCGCGGGTGATGATGACGACGAGGATGGTTATGCTTAGTGGTCTTGATGGGACCATGATATGGTGATGCGTTAGTGATGGGAGAACGTGAATGGGTGAGAGAGTGAGTGGGTGATGATGAATGGCGACGTAGTGGGACGACATATGTTGATGATGCGGGTGATGATGATGATGATGATGATGATGATGATGATGATGATGATGATGATGATGATGATGATGATGATGATGATTATTGTGATGAGGATGCTGGCGATGATGGTGATGGTGATGCTGATGATGACGATGATGGTGGTGTGTGAGTTTGCGAGGAGGAGGGGGGGTGAGGAGGAGGAGGAGGAGGAGGAGGAGGAGGAGGAGGAGGAGGAGGAGGACTGCGCGTGGTGTCCAGAGACAACATGAACCACACTTAGGATGTGGGAGAATTGCACGAGTTTGACGTATTGATGGCACGTTGTGTTCAACATGTGGCTCTCGCGCGGCGCACATTCGTTTGACAATTCCAAAAGTTTCACGGGTTGAGGACATGTGATTTTCAACACGTCATTCTCGCTTCCGTGGCTCGTACATTCGTTTTTGTTGTTGTTTGGGCATCTCCCTATTTTTCTATTTTTTCCGTGGTTTGTTCCGTCTTCGGAATTTGCAATAGTCTCGCGGAATGAGGTTCGGTGGTTCTCACAATGTGTTCTCGCTTCAGCGCCGCGCACATTCATTGTAAACCTCGCGAGAGTTTCGCGGACTGGTGACACGTGATTTTCAAAATGTGGCTCTCGCCTTAGCGCCGCGCAAATTCGTTGTTCGTTTTGTTGGTTTCGTTAATGTACCAGAAACGGCGCCTTCGAGCGACTCTGGATTGTCAGGGCGCAGAGTTATGTTAATTGGTAGTGCTGAAATCCCAGGAATTGTGTTCTGGCGCGATCCAGCATCGCCAAGGCGAAACAGTAAGGTTGATTCGTTGCGTTTGGCACGCTTCAGGATCTTCAAATGATTGTCTGCCACTGGGGCACTTCCTTATTGTAATGAATCCTTCTGTGGGCCTATGGAGAGGAAGCTTTGAGAAAGGTATATTCCAACATCGTTGATGAGTCTTGAGTTTACGCTGGTCCTCCTCGTCCTCCTCCCCTTCTCCTCCGCCCGCCGCCTCCGCCTCCGCCGCCTCGTCCTCTTCCTCCTCCTCCTCCTCCTCCTCCTCATTCGTCTCCGTTATCCTCCTCCGTACTTTCCCTCCCCCTCTCCCATTCCCACCCTCCGTCTCCACACATGGCCTCCTGCTCCTTCGGCGGGGCCCGCCGGGGTTCCCCGCAGAGAGGTCTCCAGAGGAACCAGCAGGCCTCAGGTTGTGCCCGCCGAGGCTTCCAGGGGCTGCCGAAGGCCCGAAAAGGGCCAAACATGGATTAACAACTACTCAGTCTATCTTCCTCTTTCCTTTCCCTCCCCTGCTCCTGTTCCTCTCCTCCCTTCCCTCGCTTCTCCCTCTCCCTCCCCCTCTCCTCCCTGCCCCTCTCCCTCCCCCTCCTCCCTCTGCTTCTCGTCGGCCTCCTCCTCCCCCTCCTCCTCCTCCTCCTTCTCCTCGTATTTCTCCTCCTCTTTCTCCTGCTCCTCCTCCCCTCCTCGTCCTCTGCCTTCCATCTCCTCCTCCTCGTCCTCCCACTCCTCCTCGTCCTCCTCTCCCCTCCTCCTCCTCGTCCTCCTCCTCCTCATCCTCCTCATCCTCTTCCTCCTCTCCCTTCTCCTCCTCCTCCTCCTCCTCCTCCTCCTCCTCCTCCTCCTCCTCTCTCCTCCTCTACCTCCTCCTCTTCGGCTTGTCCCCTTCCTTCTTCTGTTCCTGCTACCCCTCCTCGAGAAGGCGGCGCACGACATCAAGAAGTGCAACCAGTGGTCGTCGTCGGGCATGGCGGCCGTGCTGTCCCGGGATTGATCCGGAAGGTAGGAGGGAATCTTTTCGTGAGCGTGGCCTGATATCGCCAGCGAGGTGTTGGGGGGGACAGTGGAGCAAGGGACCAGGATAAGGAGGAGGAAGAGGAGGAGGAGGAGGAGGAGGAGGAGGGGCAGGAGGACCAGTGCAAACTCAAGACTCATCAACGATGTTGGAATACACCCTCCATCCAAGCTTCCTCTTCATAGGCCCCATGCAAGGGGTTCTTTTCCACTGGGGGCAGTGCCAAGTTGGGGGGCAACCGAGTGAATATCGTGAAGCGTGCCAAAACGCCATTCTCAGGATTTGAACGCCACGGGTCAACCTGACTTTTGCATCTTGCCAGAAAACCAATCTTGTGATTTAAACACTGCGAATGCCCTGGCAATCCTGAAATATATCAAAACCGTTTCTGGTACAGTAGCCATGAGAACCAGTAAAACTTCTGCAACTGGTTAAAACGAAGTGCGCGGCGCTGAGGCGAGAGCCACATTTTGAAAAGCAATCGCCCTCAATCCATGAAGCTCTCGATACTTTTACAACGGCTGCGGTGCTAAGGCGAGAGCCACATGTTGAAATCACCCGCCCTCAACCTGTGAAGCTCTTGCAAATTCTTACAACTAAATTGAGCAGTACTAAGGCGAGAGCCACATTTTGAAACCTACATGTCTTCAATCCGCGAAGTCTCCCTGACGATCATGCATCGTCTCAGAACAGCATTCTTCGGAGCTCAACGCCGCGAATCACAGTGACTGTTGCGCCATGGCAGTCCTAATGCAAAGGCCTTGCGGCCGGTGTCGCCGACACTGAAGGCGGGACGGACCTCCGTTGGGACCCCCGCTGGTGACCCCTCCCATACCCGCCAGGACTCCGGGGTGGCGGTCGGTATTCCAGCCTGGGACTACCCCCCCCTTCCATCCCCCCCTTGGCAGGGACTGGATAAATGGAAGGGGCCCTCTTCCTTTTTCGTCAATTTTCTTGAGGCTGGCAACGACGACGACGACGACGTCAACGCAGCGAATCAATTTCACGGTTGCGTCCTGACAGTGTTAATTCGAGCCAGAACGCCTTTCTTGGGACGCCCAACAATCCGTTGAACAGTTGTCAGCCTTTGCGACGGATGCGCGCGGTGCTGATGCGTTAGTCGCATGTTGAAGACGATCCACCCTCCATCATTGACACTCTTGGGAACTTTAAGACGCATGTTCGCGGTGTGTGGGCGAGAGCTACGTTTTGAAAACCACCCGACCTGCATTCCGAGAAGCTCTTGCAAACTTTTAAGGCGATTGTGCGCGGTGCTAAGGCGATCGCCACATTTTGAAACGAAGCCGCCCTTCATCTGTGATGCTCTTGCAAGCTTTAAGACGAATGTTCGCGGCGGTTTGGCGAGAGCCACATTTTGACAACAACCCGCGCCTCATCCTTGAAGTTCTTGCAAACTTGATAAGCGATTGTGCGCGGCGCTAGGACGATAATCACATTTTTAGAATGAGCCGCCCTCCATTTGTGAGGCTTTTGCGAACCTTGAAGACGAATCTTCGCGGCGCTTTGACGGAAACCACATGTTGGCAACCACCCGCCCTCCATCTTTGAAGCTTGTGGAATTTTTTCAGGCGAATTTTCGCGGCGCGCAACCGAGAGCCACAGTTTCAACAAGAATTGCCTTCCATCTGTGGTGCTTTTTTAAAAACGTTTGAGCCAATTGTCCGAGGCGCTTGGCGAGAACCACATTTTGACAACCACCCGCCCTCGATCCTTGAAGCTCTTGCGAACTAAGACGAATGTTCGCGGCGCATAAACGAGAGCCACATTTTGAAAATGAGCCGCCTTCCATCTGTGATGCTCTTGCAATATTTTGAGGCGAGTGTCTGCGGCGCTAAGGAGAGAGTCGCATTTTGAAACGGAGCCTTTTTCCATCGGTGATGCTCTTGCACACTTTTCAGGCGAATGTGCCCGGCGCTATGGCGCGAGCCACATCTTGAAAACGACCTGCTCTCCATCCGTGAAGCTTTCCTAGTTCTCGAAGACGAAGGTGCGCGGTGCTGACGCGAGAGCCATATTTTGAAACCCGCCCTCCCTCCCTCCGTGAAGCCTGTGCACACCTCTCCAACGAATGTCTGCAGCGTTGAGGCGAGGGCTTCCTTTTTGAAACGGCCCGCCCCCATCCGTGACATTGTTTGAAACGCTTCGCTCCAGGACCATACATGGTGAGGACGTCGCAGGCGGAGCGCCTGGCACGCCCTATTGACACGTCTCGGGGTGCGGCAGGGGAGCTACTCATGAGGAGCAGGGATGGAGGAGGAAGAGGAGGAGGACCAGGAGGAGCAGGAGTAGGAGTATGAGGAGGAGGAGGAGGAGGAGGAGTAGGAGGATGAGGAGGAGGAGTAGGAGGAGGAGGACCAGAAGTATATCCACACTGCGCCAACCAGTCCGTCCCGCACCGAGGCCCCTCGTCCTAAGTCCCCCCCCCCAAGCGTTCCTTTCCACTTCCGCAGGCGCCACTCGGAACGACCGGCACCCTGTGGGTCTGCCGGTCAGGTGAGCGCCCCGCTTTGGAAAAGGAGCAACCTGCTTTGCATCCTCCCAGCGAGTGATCTGGAACGCGCGGATTTCTTCGCTCGGACCTATGTTTTTTCCCCAGTGGGGACCACCGAGGAGCATCCTGGGTCATCTTGCGACGTGAACAGAAAACAAACACGCACGCAATCGACAACTGCACGGGCAATGGACGTCCGAGCGATGGCAGGATGTGTGATCATATAGTTCAGAGTGGCCTCCAACGATGTCCCCGCTTTGAAAAAGGACCGCCCTGATCTGTGGAATTATGTGAATGCCGTCGGGCCTCTTTGCGGCCTCGTGGGGGCATCTTGGGGCCACCTCTTGGGGCAGAAGGCTAGGATTTTCGGTTCGTGTTCCCTCTTTCGGCCCCTTTTGGGGGCGTCTTGGGGCCCTCTTGAGGCTGTCCTGGGCGCCTCTTCGGTCGTCTTCGGGCGCTTCTGGGCCTTCTTGGGGCCCTCTTGGAGGCCTCTTTGGCCGTTTTGGGGTGGTCTTGGGGCCTCTTGGGCCGTCTTGAAGCGTCGGAAAGCAGAAAAGACGAGAAGGCCAACAACTTTCAAAATCCAACGGAACCTCTCGGATTTTGGCAATTTGGGGCCTTCTTGGGAGGCAGCTTCGAGGCCTCTTGGGGCGTCTTGGAAGCCTCTTGGGCCGTCTGGAGGCCATCTTGTGCGTCTTGAGCCGATCTTAGGGCGACTTGGTCCTCTTGGACCGTCTTGGGGGCCTCTTGGGGCCCTCCTGGCCCGTCTTGGGGCCCTCTTGGGTCCCAGAAAGTCATGCGGCAAGCCGCGACGGAGCTCAGAGGGCACGCCGGGATCCCTGGTAGATTTCGGATGTTTTGGGTCCGGGCTTCTCAATGACTCCCCAGGACTGAGGACTGAGGCTCCAGGGATTGGGCAAAGGACCTGAGTACACGCTCCCTCCGTGCTCAGAGGAACGGTGGCGGATTGGACATGTTTTCGCTTATGGCCCTGGGCGCCGAAGAACCGCACCCACCCTCCATCGGTGCACCTGTTGCATCTGTTCAAGTTTTTTTTGTTTTGTTTTTTTTATGACTTGCAGCGATTTCAAGTACAGCCTCAACTTTGGGGAAACTGCCCTCCACAGTTGCAGCTGCTGCATCTGTTCAAGTTCCCGGCCTTGAAGTGTGAAGGCGTCTCACGCTTCAACCCCGCCTTGGAAAGTTACCGCCTTCCACCTTTGAGGCGGTTGCACATCTCAGCACGACTGTGCGCGGCGGTCGGGCGAACATCTCGTTTTGCAGACGACCCCTCCGTGAAATTGATGCAAAGTTCAAAAGGTGAATGCGCGCGGCGCCACGGCGAGAACCACATTTTGAAGTCCACCCCCTCCATACCTAAAACCCTTTACAGCTTCCTGGCCTCAGGACCATAAGTGGTGAAGGGACTCCAGCGAAATACCCGGTCCGCCCTGCCGACACAACTGGTGGTGCGGCAGGGAGTGTTTTTTGTCGTCAGGGTAGCAGGTGGAGGCGGAGGCGGAGGCGGAGGCGGAGGCGGAGGAGGAGGAGGAGGAGGAGGAGGAGGAGGAGGAGGAGGAGGAGGAGGAGGAGGTGGAGGAGGAGGAGGAGGAGGGAGGAGGGAGGGGGAGGAGGAGGAGGAGGAGGAGGAGGAGGAGGCGGAGGCGGAGGCGGAGGCGGAGGCGGAGGAGGAGGATGCGGAGGAGGAGGAGGCGGAGGAGGAGGAGGAGGGGTGGAGGGAGGGCGGGCGAGAGGGGACAGATGCCCGATGTAGTCGGCCATTCTCGACCAAGAGCGGCCAGGCTTGCGGACCAGTGGCCTCCTCCTCGTCCCACCCGCTGGCTCGGGAATGGCCAGGACCCTGGTTAAGGGGAGCCGGTTAGTGCTTGGGCCCCGAGGCCCAACATATGGAAGGGAATCACTAAACCAGGGCTGCCGCAGCTGGCTTCTCTTGTGGCGGCAGTTCCAGCTAGTTGAACGGGGCAGGGGGGGGCGTCCCTCGCCTCGGTACACATCACTAAACCAGGTTCCCCTAAACCCAGTCCCACCAACGAGCCCCCGTGGCGCTGCCCTCCCCACTTCCCGGTGGTCCTTGATCTTTGGCAGATTTTTGGGGGGCCTCTGGGGGCCGCCTCGCCCTCCCGATCCTGCTCCTCCCTCAGATCTTCCTCCCCCAAACGTTTTTCTCCGGCTCCCCCCCTCCTCCCCCGACCCCTGCTCCTCCTCCCCCTCCTTCTCATCCTCCACAGCGTCCTCCTCCTCCTCCTCCTCCTCCTCCTCCTCACCCACCTCTCCCGCCTCCCCCTCCCCCTTTCCCTCTCCCCCCCCCATGTCTCCCTCCTCCCCTCCTGCGCCTCTCCTTTTCGCCTTCCCCCTCCCCCCTTACTCCCCTTCCTCCCCCCCTCCCTCTCTCCCTTCCCTCCCGCTCTTTCTCCTCCGCATGGTGGAGGAGGATGGGGCCACTGCA